AACTGTTGGAGGACGGCATCAAGTCAGCAAAATAAATTTGATGCAAAGAGGTTACCATAAAACTTGTGTCAGGTCAGGAGTATGGTCTTCATGATCATCCTGCTACTGGTAACATGTAACCCAGTGCAACCTGTTCCATGTTCTGCTGCCTTGCAGGATTTGCTTTCTAAGCAAAGGCTGGAAGGTGTGTGCTTCCTGTCATCAGTACTATCTTATATCAGTCATGCCTATAGTAATATATATATATATTTTTTATAGTTAGAGGTGCCTTAGTTACTGTATTAGCTCACCTGTAATCTACTTTATATGTATGTTTGTGTTCTGTCTGAACCTCTGGCATGGTGTTCACTCACCCGTAAGTTACTTTATGCTTTTTATGTATGTTTGTGTTCTGTCTGAACCTTTGGCGAGGTGTTCGCTCACCCGTAAGTTACTTTATGTTTTTAATGTATGTTTGTGTTCTGTCTGAACCTCTGACGCGGTGTTGACTCACCTGTAAGTTGATTTATGTTTGTTTGTGTTCTATTTATTCTCTGATGCAGCGTGAGCTCAGTAACTAGCTACTTACTCCAACTACAAAATCTACACTCACATTAGACTCCTGTATTTTGTTAGATGCAGTGTTTTTCCTAATGCACTTCCAAAATGTCATGCCTGGTTTTCTCAAAGTACTGTTGCGGGAAGTAACTCCTTTTAACTACTCAGGACAGGATAATCAAGATCAATGTTGCTACTGGTATCACGTAATCCAGTACCACCTGCCACAAGCCCTGCTGCCTTGCAGAGTGTGCTCTTCTTAGGCAAAGGCTAGGAGAAATAAACTCCGACTAAAAATTCCCCTGCCTTGGGGCTCTTGGTTGAGTAAAGGCTAGAGATGGTGTCTCGATAAAAGTACTCATCTTGGGCAGATGTTAACTGCATCCAGCTACTGTCTTGTAGAAGGCCTCCTAGGCAAAGACTAGGCAAAGAGGGGTAAGCAGAAAAATTCTGCTAACCAGCCTTCTTCATCTATTAGGCTGGCGTAGATGTAACCTGTGTTACATTGTTTCTTGCCTAGGATGTTGAATGCTGGATCTCCTTGACTCTACTCATAGAACTTTGCTTATGCCTCCTTGATAATGGCTATGCAACTTTTCCTGTTATCTCCATATGAGGGTACAGCTTTAAAACTCAGTTTAATGGTTCTGAGGCTCAGTTTAATGGTTCTGAGATTCCATCAACAGCTGCAAAACATCAGAGTATTAAGAGTGCCATGTTGCGCATGGATGGTGTCCCTGTTAATGCTTTTGGTGTGCATTGTCAAGGCCACATAAGGAGCCCTATGTCACGGCTTAGGGTTAATTAACAGGACTGAGACAACTGCATAGCTCATTGATTAGGAGGCTGTGCTCTATTTATGAATGAGTCAAGTTCTCATCAAACCCAAATCATGACCAAAGTAACCAAAAATTTTAAACCTAAAAAACCATCCCCACCACCTAAATGTTTTAATATATCTTTTACAAATATTCGCGGTCTGCGAAGCAACTTTCCGTCAGTTGAGTCTTACCTCCAGCAAAATTCACCAGACTTGCTTGCACTCAATGAAACAATTTTAAATTCTGCAATTCCTTCTTCAGATGTCAGTGTTGATGGGTACTATCCTTTGATTCGTAAAGACTCCAATAGTCACATGCTATGTTTAGGGTTATACATACGCATTAATTCCCCTATTTGTCGTAAAATCAGGTTCAAATCCTTTGACCATTCTTTTATGTGCTTTCGCCTAGCACCTCTTCACTCTATCATTTTTTTCTTTGTTCTTTATCGTTCTCCTTCTTCCCATGATTGCACTCTTCTAGATGTTATCTCTGGTCAAATTGACCATGCCCTCTCTCTTTACCCCTCTGCCAATATTGTTGTTGTTGGTGATTTTAATGCCCATCACACTGAATGGCTTGGCTCTAACACCACTGATCCTGCTGGCACTAAAGCCTTTAACTTCTGTGTTTCTCAATCTCTTACTCAGATAATTAACTTTGTGACTCGTTTTCCTGACAACCCTAATCATTTACCTTCACTCCTTGACTTATGTCTTGTCTCTGACCCTAGCTTATGTTCAGTTTCTTCCTTTTCTCCCTTAGGTGGTTCTGACCATGCATGATCTCTATAAATCTTTTTTCTCGTACTTCTTTTTTGGGCTCACCTTATCATCGCACCACCTACTACTACCCTAAAGCTGACTGGGATTCTTTTCGTGATTTTCTTCGTGATGGTTCTTGGGCTGATGTTTTTTCTCTCTCAGCTGATAAATGCGCCTCCTACGTAACCTCCTGGATTCAGGCTGGAATGGAAGCTTTTATTCCTTCTCGTCGGTTTCAAGTCAAGCCTCATTCTACTCCATGGTTTTCTTCTTCTTGTGCGGCTGCTATATCCAATGGTAATCATTTTTTTCATCTTTTTCAAAAGAACAAATCCCTTCAGAACAAATGGCTATTTATTTTTGCAAGAAATCGATGTAAAAAGGTGCTTTCTGATGCATAAACTCCATTATTCTCAGTTCACTAAATCTTGCATCTTATCACAGAAGTTAGGCTCTAAAGACTTTTGGAAAATCTTCAACAGCATTATTAACAAGGGTAGATCTAACATTCCATCTCTCATTCATGGGACTGATCTTATTACCTCTCCCAAGGATAAGACAGAACTATTTGCAAAGAACTTTTCTTCTAATTCCACTCTTGAATTTTATGGACATTTTCTTCCTTCCATTCCAGTCAAACAGGTTGACCCATTGTTAGACATTCAAATCACTCCGGCTTCTGTTGCTAAAGTCATATCTCAATTAAACTCGCCAACAGCTTGTGGTCCAGACAACATTCCTGTCACAGTCTTGCAGAATTGTTCTTCAGAACTTTCTTCAATTCTCTCTAAACTATTTAACAAGTGTTTGACTGAATCTTGTTTTCCTGCTTGTTGGAAAATGGCATTTGTGGTTCCAATATTCAAAAACTCTGGAGAAAATTCTGACCCCTCATATTATCGTCCGATCAGTCTTCTTTCTGTTATTAGCAAGGTCTTTGAGTCTTTGATCAACAAATTCCTCACATCTCATCTTGAGTCAAATAAACTGCTGTCAGACAATCAATACGGTTTTCAATCCTCTCGCTCTACGGCTGACTTGCTAACCGCTGTAACTGAAAGATTTTATTGTGCATTAGATGGATTGCTCTCGACATATCTAAAGTTTTCGACAAAGTTTGGCATGCTGGTTTTCTCCATAAGCTTGCTTCATATGGTGTTTCTGGGAGAGTTTTTGAGATTATCAAATCATTTTTTTCTAACCGGTTTATTAAAGTTATCCTTGAAGACCAACACTCTTCTTTATTTCCAGTAACTTCTGGGGTTCCCCTAGGTTCCATCCTGGGCCCTGTTTTGTTTCTTATCTACATAAACGATCTTCCTGACAACCTTTCATCTAAAGTAGCTCTTTTTGCTGGTGAATCAACTTTATACTCCTGTCTTGACAAAAAGTCTTCTCTTTTCGATCGCCTAGAACAAGCAGCTGATCTTGAATCTGATCTCACTTTAGTAATAGATTGGGGTTCACAGTGGCTTGTGAATTTCAACTCCAACAAAACCCAGAGTTTTACTGCAAACAACTACCGTAATATGGTCAACATTCCTATATTAATCAATGGCAATCCTCTTACTGAGTCCTCCTCTTTAGGTCATCTTGGATTATCGCTTACTACTGACCTTTCATGGAAACCATATATACAATCGATTGCTAAATTAGCTTCTGCTAAGGTTGCTTCTCTTTATCGTGCTCGCCATTTCCTTACTTCTGATTCCATTCTCTACCTCTACAAAATTCTTATTTGTCCCTGTATGAAATACTGTTGTCATATTTGGGCTGGTTCTTCTAACGATTCACTTTCTCTTCTTGACAAGGTCCAAAAACGAATTGTAAATGTTGTTGGACCTGGACTATCTGCTAAGCTTGAGCCTCTTTCCCATTGTCGTAAAGTTGCATCTCTTTCTCTTTTCTACAAATACTATCATGGTCACTACTCAAAAGAGTTATCATCTCTAGTTCCATCAACTAAAATTCATTCCCGTTTTACTCGTCATTCAGCTAAGTCTTTTTCGTTTACTGTATCTGTCCCTGCATGCTCTAAAAACTTTTATTCATTTAGTTTTTTTGCCCGCACTTCAATCTTTTGGAACTCTCTCCCATCTTCATGTTTTCCTGACTCATACAACCTTCAACTTTTCAAGTCTTCTGTCAACCGTTTCGTTGCTCTATAACTCTGTTCTTTTTTTTCCTAGTAACTCCCAACTTAATAGTGGTTGCTTGCAGCCTTGTTGGGAGTGAATGCAAATAAAAAAAAAAACAAAAAAAAAAACATAGAAATAAGGTCCGCGATTTTTGCCAACCTCAAACACTTTTAGGTCAGCAGTTAGGTCTGCATTGCCGAAAGCCAACCCTAATTCGAAGGGTTGATATAAATATATATGTATGTATATATATATATATATATATATATATATATATATATATATATATATATACACACATACATACATATACATACATATACATACATACATACATACATATACATACATACATACATACATATATATATATATATATATATATATATATATATATATATATATATATATATATATATATATATATATATATTATTATATATTATTATATATATATACACAGACAAATACATACATATATATAAAATTAGTTGATAACAATTTACAAATTTTTAATAGTAATTCTTTGCATGTTTTTTAATAATAACTTTTTGCAGTTACATATTAATGAATTTGAAAAAATCAACATATTGATAAAGTTTAAATATATAATGTCAATAAAAGGGGGTCAAGATAACAATGTTTTAAATCACTTTGTTAATTTAAAATTATTTTTCATATAAATAACTTTAAAAATGACTTAAATCCATTTCATAAGCATCACATATAATAAATAATACCTCTTCTTCCATAACAAACTCATTTTTTTCCTTGGTGTGTTTCACTACAACTTTCTTGATCAGCATGACAATTTTAAGAAAAAATTATACTAGCAAACTAAGCAAACATTAATTTATAAATTGTCTGCAGTTAAAGTTAACACCCATTAAAAATATTATACCATAAATATACAGTATGCAAAAAAAAACAAAAAAAACAAAAAAAAAAAAATTTAGACCTAAAAGAAAATCACACCTTATATGACCAAAATTTTTCTACTAAACAGGTAAAATTAAAAAAAAAAAATCTAAAATATATATTAGAATATCAATAACAATACATCAACAAGATTTTGGAAAAAAATTACAGTTTTCTTTTGTACGGTAGAAACTTAAAAATTTTATTAAGAAGTTTTATTAACTGTATCAGCTAAAAAATTAATTGTACAATTCAAAAATAAAGTCAAATTGATCAAATTTAATGGAAATTAGTATCAAGTGGGGAAATTATTATCCTTTTACCTTGATGGAATTAGCTAGACAATTTGGTATTGAGTTGACCAATTTTGGGTCTCTCCTGATGTTTTATTATCACATGCTCTCATTACACCTTCTTTCAAGCCGCCTTTGCTTCTAAATGCTTGGTTTTTTAATTTTTCTCTAATGATTAAAATTTTTCTCCTATGATTGAATGAAAAAATTTTCCAATTTTCCTCCTCGACTTTTTAATTTTTCACAAATTTTCTGTCCAAAATATACCACTAATTTTCTATAGGATTCAAATCCGGACTTTGAAATAGCCATTCCACAACGTTGATGTTATATGTATAGCTTTGTTTTCTTAGCAGTATATTTTTTTACTTTCTGGACTCTATTTGATGAGACAAAGTTGTATTTTGACTCTCATATTGGCATTATGATATTGGCATCATAATGCTAATATCAGAATCAGAATACAATTACATAATATCAAAAAAATGCCAATATCATATTCAGCATGAATATGATATCAGCATTTTTTTGTACTTCTTTGTATTTGCCATCTCATTTATTTTGCAGTTAAAAAAGGTTTTATTCCAACTAATCTACCATCATACCTTGTTCTCTAATACAATTTCTGATTATTTGAGGAGTCACTGTGATGATTTGACCTTCTTGAACTTTTAAAGCTAGTTTAGCTGCCGAAAAAAAACTATTTTTCTTTACATTAATGATATTATTGCGATCAATTGCAATCGTGGTCTTGCGTTTTTGTCCTCTGCCAGCCACACTAGAAATGGTTTCAATCAGATCATGCTTAACAATTGAGGACACTGTGGTAAAAAGAAATCCTGTTTCTTTTAGGATTTGACAGTTGGATTTTCCTTAATTTTTCAAATCAACTACTAGGTTTCATAGATGGATTGACAAATGTTTTTTTCTTGACACCATTTTACTGAAAAAATATATTTTATTTCTAAGATGTGTAAGAAAGTAATTCCACCTCTTTTGTATGGTTCAGACTTTGTCACCTCACCTAAAGACAAAGCTGGATTGTTTGCTAAGAACTTTTCATCAATACCATCTCTTGACTCTACTAGTTGCGCTCTACCTGATATAGCCGTCAAACAGGTTGATCCATTGCTCGACATCCATATCACTCCAGCTTCTGTATCTAAAGTGATTTCCTTCTTAGACTCTTCTACAACTTGCGGCCCGGACAACATACCTGTTATAGTCTTGCAGAAGTGTTCTCCGGAGCTGTGGTCTATCCTTTCAAAACTATTTAACAAGTGCTTATCAGAGTCTTGTTTTCCAGCCTGCTGGAAAGCAGCATCTGCTATCCCTATTTTTAAAAATTCTGGAGAGCGATCCGATTCATCTAACTACCATCCCATTAGTCTTCTTCCTATCATAAGCAAGGTTTTTGAATCTTTAATTAACAAACACTTAATCTCTCATCTTGATTCTCATAACCTACTTTCTGATCATCAATATGGATTTTGATCTTCTTGTTCTACGGCTGATTTGCTAACAGTAATAACCGATAGGTTTTATTGTGCATTAGATAAAGGTGGAGAGGTTAAGGCCATTGCTCTTGACATTTCTAAAGCGTTTGATAAAGTTTGGCATGCTGGTCTTCTCGATAAGCTTTTTTCTTACGGTGTATCTGGAAACATCTTTAAGATTATTGAATCCTTCCTTTCCAATCGTAGTATAAAAGTTGTCCTTGATGGACAGCACTCTTCTTCTTATTCTGTAACCTCAGGGGTTCCTCAAGGTTCAATCCTTGGCCCTATACTCTTTTTAATTTACATTAACGATCTTTAAGATATTCTCACATCTAAGGTGGCATTGTTCGCCAACTCCCTCTGATTGCTTGCAGGAGGCATTTGAGCTTAAAAAGGATCTCAATTCTGCTACAGCATGGGGCTCACAGTGGTTGGTGAAATTTAATTCAGATAAAACTCAATATTTTTCAGCTAACTTTTATCGCAATAATTTAGACCTTCCTATATTTATGAACGGTAATGTACTCGATGAGTCATCTACCCTTCATCTTCTAGGATTAACTCTCACTTCTGATCTTTCTTGGAAACCTTATATCAAATCCATTGCAAAACTAGCATCTGCTAAAGTTGCATCTCTTTATCGAGCTCGACACTTTCTTACTCTGGATTCTATTCTCTATCTCTATAAATCTCAAATCCGACCTTGTATGGAATACTGTTGCCATATCTGGGGCGGATCTTCTAATGATGCCCTTTCTCTTTTAGGTGCAAAAACGCATTGTAAACATAGTTGGACCTGCTCTTGCAGCCAACCTTCAACCTCTGTCACATCGTCGTAATGTTGCTTCTCTTTCTCTTTTCTACAAATACTATAATGGGCACTGCTCTAAAGAGCTAGCGCCTCTTGTGCCATCTACTAAAATTCATTCTCGTGTTACTCGTCATTCAATTAAGTCTCATCCTTTTTCTGTTACTGTTTCTAAGTGCTCCAAAAACTCTTATTTGTCTAGTTTTTATCCTCGAACATCAGTTCTTTGGAATTCGCTTCCTTCATTATGCTTTCCTGATTCATATAATTTGCAATCTTTTAAGTCATCTGTCAATCGTTATCTTGCTCTAAAAGCTTCATCTTTTCTCTTACAGTAACTTCCAACACTAATTAGTGGTTGCTTGCAGCCTTGTTGGAAGCGAAGATGTTAAAAAAAAAAAAAAAAAAAGTTGTTTTAAGTTATTCTAAGAAATTAGTTGTTCTAAGAAATTAGTTGTTCTAAGAATGTGTATTTAAAAAATTACCACTTTCAATTTTATTTACTAGTTTAATTGTTCGATTTGCTTGATTTATGCTAAAATAATGACCTATTTTGTTAGTGTACAATTATTTTTTTTGCTGTCAATTTAATGCATCATAAGATCAATTGTGTAAGATTCAATAGGTTTGAAATACAATTAATTTACTAATACTCTATGTAGTTAAGATGATTTACAAATTATTTGAATTGTTTTATTTGAATTTAGGATGATTTTACAAGAGTATTATGTCCAAACAAAAGCTTTAGATATTATAATTTTTTAATAACCGGTTCTGACGTATATCAACTGTATATAATTGTCAAAACACAATACTTCTATGAATTTTCACAAAAAATACTATAACTCCGACAAAGAAAGAGCTTATAATTAAGAAAAATTGCCAATTAACTATCAGAACAGATCATATTATTAAACTATGATGTTCATTTTACCTAAAAAACATATTTACTTAAATCTAATTCAAAAATCTTATTCTAATTTGGACAAGTGATTGGGATTTTAAGAAGATTTAAAAAAAAAAAAAAAAAGAATCTTTGGTCTAGGTTTTTTCGCTATAATTATTTAGATTTTATGATACTGCAAAATTTATAATTTTAATTTTAATGATTCACAGACCTGATCTTTAACAGAAATATTCCATAGTCAACAAAATATCATAAAGACGCTATAATATTTTAAAATTGCTTTCACTACTCCGAGTACACAAATAGGTTCTTAAAAACAATACTTGATAAGATATCTAAAAAAAAGTTTCAAATATTTTAACAGACTAATCATTTTTTTAATGCAATCTATCAAATTATGATTTTATTTTCAAGTGTACGATTTTTTTTTTTTTTGCATACTGTATGAAATATTATATGAAAGCATAAAATCTTACATATTACAATATGTGATAAACATCCAAATATTTAAACATAAAATAACTTTAACACCTAACACTTTAAAAGTTAAACATAACTTTGAACACCTAACATCTTTTAAAACATAAGTGTCAACCGAAATAACACCATAAAAATACCTAAAATCAAAAGTACTAAGTACTTTTGATTTTAAGTATTTTTCAACTTAATCTCAAACTCAATTGCTCTCAACACAAATACTTCACCACACAAATATTTAACAAATAAAAATTTTAATAACCAAATAATTCAATAACCAAATACAGTTTTTAAAAACCAATTATTTAACATAAAACCTTGGTGAAAATTGAATTGTTAAAAAATCTAGCAAATATTTTCCCATAATCATTGAAATAACAGCGGAAAATTTTTTTATACTAAATAATTCAATATTAAAAAACAAAATATAAAACACTATTATTTATAATAAAAATTTATTAACAAAATATAACTAGAAATATTTAAAAATACTAGAAATATTTAAAAAGCAAAAATTATAAATTGCAAAATGTTATTATCTACTTATAAATACTCAAAAAATAAAAATTCTTTTAAAACCAGACATTTTAAACTATTTTTAGATTATTAGAAACCAAAAAAATAAAAAATTTAAAATTCTAAATAACGAATTTGATAAATACTTTTAAAAGCTTACAAATTTTTTTTAATGTGACTGATACTAAAGTATGATAAAAAACTATATATAAAACATTTCTCATCAGCAATTTCTCTAAAATTTATGAGTGGGATGGGAAGTATAATTATCTAACCATTGAAAAAAGTTTAACGACTTTAAATTGACAAAAATGATAAAAGAAAAATGCAAGCAACTTATTAGAAAAAAAAAGTCTTAAATAGAAGAACATGAAAACTAATTAAAAAACTTGATGATGTATACCTTCCTTAGCATACCTTAGTATGTACCAATATCCTTAACATACCTTAGTATGTACCAGTATCCTTAACATACCTTAGTATGTACCAGTATCCTTAACATACTTTAGTAAAACATATATATGTAGTAACACATATAACATTACAGTATAAATAACATATATAATTTATATATGTATCATAGTTTATTAGAAAAAAACAACAAACAACATAAACAAATGCTGATGTTGTGCAACAGGTGTAGATGTACTTTAACTAAAGACACAATACTCCAATTGTAGATACAACAACAAACTTGATTGTAATTCAATAACCAATTAACTTCACTTTATGACATTAGCAACAATACTTCACTTCACAACATTAGCAGCACTAAAAGAAAAAGTTGTTTTTCTTATTATAAAACATTATATTATTTTCTTTCTATAAAAAAACACAAAAAAGACATTACCAAAATAAGTGCTTAACCTTTGTTTTACAAAAATTTGTTTACATTCTATTGAATAGGATTGCTAAGCAATATATTGGTATTATTTGAAAACAAATCTTTATGGATTTAAATAGAGAAAACTTCAAAGAAAAAGTGACATCAAATTTGCTGAATTATGAAAAGTCAGCTGAAACTTTAACTTACAAATTGTCAATATAAACATATATAATTACAAAATGTATACCTTAATAAAAAATACCTTAACAAATGGGTGATCTTCAAGCATAGCTGAAGTCCACCTGAGATGCTGCTCTAGAAAACAACATGTTAGAAAATGTTTTCCTTCTTCACTTAAAGTTTCTGGAATACCTGGAGTTTGACCTCCTCCAACTTTATACATAATTGCATAAACATTGTCGTATTCAGACCACGGTTGCTATAAACATAAATGATTAAATGAATGTTTTAAGACATTTGCAATGAAAGAATAAAAAAACATTATTTTTATTAATATTGTTAATGCAAAGTGATAATATTAATGGATGCCATTATCATAGTTTTTCTGTAGGAGAACGAATTTTTGGTTTTAACTAGTTTAGCACAACACTCTCCTAATTTTTTTATAATAACATTATGATTATTACAGTTAATACACGGCTGTTTCACTCAATATAAAAGCGAGCCTGACGTCACGAGTTTATCAAAAAAAAAAGTATTTCCGCATAAAAAGTATAAAAATTCATTAACTTTAAAATAATAGTATTTTTTTTCTATAAATGCTTTCATCTTCAAATAAAAAAAATATAAAAGATCTATCTTTCCTTGTTAAATAAACATTTACATTAAACGGAATAAAAATGAAAGCTGTAAAAATATTGTTAATAATTTGGCATCACTTTTCTGATTTTTGCGATTTTTACGCAAAACCTGTCTTAGGCCAACTAAGATTTGATAACATAGCTACATGGTCGATGGTTGAAATTTAGACCAGTTATTAATGAATGTCTGTTCTATCTAGATTTCCACAGACTTTGCAAGTTTTTATATAGAAAGTTAGTTTTTAATGCATTTATATTTTTGTTTTTATTCGTTTTGAATAAAAAACATAACATTTTTGAAAAGTCTGTAAATTTAGTAATACTTCAACCTTATATAAATAAGAAAATCAAAAAATTATTTTCTGTACCTCTAGCTATGTTATCAAATATGTTTTCAAACTTGGCATGTTTAGCGACATTTTTTTTAGTTTTTTTTGCATAAATTCTTGTTTACATTTTAAAGCGGTGACGCAAACTCTGATCGTTACGTCCCCAACGATTATCGGATGCATTTTAAGAAAACAAACAAAACAAACGAGACACATTTTATAGAATAAATAACAAAGTTTCGCGGATTTATTTCTCTTGGATATTTGACTAATTTCAAATAAGTTGATTAATCCGATTTTATCTAGTGCATCTATTTGTCAATATTAGTCTATTTAAGTTGTTTGTATTATAAATTTATTACTATATCAATAAAGATTATAAAGCAAAGTTTCGTGGATTATTTCCTCGTGGATATTCGACTAATCTCAGATAAGTTGCTTAATTCTTTTATTTTTAGTGTATTTATTTGTAAATATTATTATATCATTATCATTATTTATGTGATGTATGCAACTGAGAGGGAAATTTTGAAACTGTACATCGGTTGAGAAGATGGTTGGGAAAATGAGTATAACTTTAATTTTGTAAAGCGAGTAATTGACACTAGTAAGATAACTAACAATGTGATTTCAATTTTATTAACAGTTTTTCATCCAAAAGCGTTGTTTACTTTTTTAAGTTTTCTTTTGCCAATTGAGTTTAATATGCCTAATATTGATGTGTTAAATAAAATGTGCCGAAAAATAAAACAAAGAAAAAAAGATTCTAAAAAGTATTTTGAAGCTTCAAAAAACGAAGCATTTTTTAAAATGCAACTGTCTCCAGCTCCACAAACAAAAAAACAAAAAAAATCAGCAGATGCAGATAATTTTTATATTTTAAATAGGAATAAGGAACTAAGTAGTCAAGTTGAACAATTAATTTCTAAAGAAAAAAATAATGTGGAGCAAATAGATAATTTAAAAATACAGGTATCAAAGTTGGAAACTGAAGTTATATATTTAAATTCTAAAAACAAGGTTCTCAACGCACATTGTAACTCATTAAGTTCTCAATTAGAGACTATGAGTATTAGGCTAAAACAGGAGGAGCAGTTCCAACTTTAAAAAAAAAAAAAAAATTAAAAACAGCACACCGTAAATTTGCATCTGCTTGTGCCAAAAATGTAAGATTGCTAAAAAAATTTAAATTTGAAAAAAAAAATGCAAAAATCAGTGATATAAACAAGAACAGTTGCCAAATTTGCAAATATTTTGCTAGCAGTGATAAGGATTTAGTTGTCGTTGATTCTTATTTAGACTATGACAACATTGGTTCCTCTGAATTATTCTGTGGGTTTAAATTAAGTAATCCACAGACTATATCAGTTAAAAAGCCAATAGTTAGTAAGAAATATACTTACATTAAGTTAGGAGATGGTAAATCTTATTCTAAGTTAGGTAGGCATGCTGCAGCTAGACGATCTAAACTTGCTTTTATATTCCTTCGATTATTAGCTTGTTCAGATTTAGAAAGTGATTTGTCTATGTTTTGTGATTCTGTGTCTTGTGAAAAGTCTATGTTTCATTGTGTTGCAAATAAGTTGGCAGTTAAGTGTTTCTGATGCTGTAGAGCTGCAGAGCCAATTAAGGATGCCCACGGCTGAATTCCGTAGGCTAAGACGTATTCTGTATAATCTTGGTGCAAGGATTCTCCCATCTGAGCCCAAGATAAGACAAGAACAAGAAATGCGGACAATGCATGTTAGTAAAGAACATGTTACTGTAAAGTCCATGTTGCTTTATCCATCTGCGAATGAAGCACCTTGTTTAGTACCTGTATTGATGGTCAAGAATTTGATAACTTATATTGAAGAGGTTTTCAATAGTCTGCACGTTCGTGACCACTTCAATTCTGATGTCGGTTTTTGCGAAGAGGTATGGCTCCTTTTTGCTGGGGATAAGGGTGGGAAGTATATGAAATTCCATTTTGAAGTTGTCAATTCTAAATCATCAGGGTCTGTATATGATGTTCATTTATTTTGTATGTATCAGGGTTCAGACTGTCGTGAGAATATTGCCTTAGTTCTCGGGCATTATGCCAATGACATTAAAAGAATTCAGTCGTCAGATTTTAAGCTAAAAGGCAAAAAAGTCAGGTTGTTCTTAGGTGGAGATTTTCATTTTATCGATGATGTTCTGGGACACCAGGGTTCAGCTGCTAGCTTTCCTAGTTCTACAGACCTAGTTAAGTTGAATTCTCTAAGAAACCATGCTTCTATGCCTCACACACCTGCTAATTGTAACATCTTAAGGAGGACAATACAATCTCTGGAAAATGCTTAAAATGAAAACTTGTGTGAAGATAGACAAGGTGGAAACCTAAGAGCTCTAGATAAGTTTCATAATTCAATTATTGCTCCTGTGATTTTCCCCATAATAACTTTAGATTATGTAGTGCCACCTGTTTTGCATATTATGTTAGGAGTTGTGTTAAAACTTTATAAGTTATTGTTGAAGGAGTGTAAGACTTTGGATTGTCAAGCTGTTTCGTCTTTGTCGCATAATGAGAATGTGAGAACGAATGAATTGTGGGCTGCTAAAAGCTTTGAATGTTCTAAAACAGCAGACTCTTTACGTTTATTAGGAAATCAATTTGTAGACGTTGCAAATCTACAGACTCGTTGGTTAGCTTTTGATAAAAATATTTCTGAATTGGAATGCATATCTCTAAACTCCTCCAATAAAAAAAAAACCTGTAAACAGCAAGAAAAGTGTGCTAGTATCAGGTGTTTAATTACTAAATATGATTGTAACATTGATTGGGTGCAGTGTGGTACGTGCCAAAAATTGTTCCATCAATTTTGTGAAATTATTGGTGGTTCGGAAAAGAATGTATTGTGTGATATAGAGAAGTATGAGTGTTTAGCATGTCAAGGTGAAGATTTAGAATGTCTTGACCTTTATATTTCTGAAAAAATTTCTTTTATACGCGCACAGCGCGAAGTTTTAGACGTTGAGTATATTCGATTGCAGATAGAGTGTGAAGACCTAGAAAAAATATCTATAAGTAGCATGGGGACTCATGAGAGGTCTCTTTATAAGGCCCTTGAAGATATGAAAGTTGAGCGACAAGCTTACCATGGTAATGTATTTGTAGGTAATCATTGTAAAATAGTATTAAGAAACCACTATAAACTTTGTAGTGTTATTGATGATAAAGCAATTAAAAATAGATTTGTACGTGTGTTTAGTGTTTTTAATAACTTGCAACCTATTCTTTTTAAGCGAAAATTTCTTTCTGATGCCGAAATTTCTGAGCTTCATCAATATATAAATTTATTTGCTATTGAGTTTCATGCTTGCTTTCCAAAAGAAAGTATCACGCGAAAAATGCATGAACTCATTTTCAATGTACCACTATTTGTAAAATTGCATAAAACTATTGGGTTGCTGAGTGAAGAGGAGGGAGAGTGTTTGCATAATAGCGTAAATAAGGAATTAAGGCAGTTGCATTCAGTTAGAAATCAGGAGCAAAAGCTGCATCTTGTTTTAAAACGCTTTGAATAGCACAGCAAAGCTGATAGGAAGCTTCAAGCCTCTAAGGTGAGAAAGTGTGTTGTGTGTTCAGAGCGTGGCGAAAATTCATTTTATAGACAAGGTCTTTGTCTTGTTTGTGGTCATCAAATTTAGTTTAAATGTTTGAAAAGTTAAAAAAAAAATTAAACTTTTTACATCTAAGATAAATTATATAAGATCCTTAATTTACAAATAAGAGAATTCTATTCTGTTTTAATGCCTGTAATGTTTGTTCAAAATAATAATAATTTTTTATTACAATGATTTTATATATTAGGTAGATGCCCATTCTGTTCCTATTTTCAAAAGTTTATTATATCTATGCAATGCCTTTGCTCAGGTTAAAGAATGGAATAAAAGTCTAGCATCAAATGTATAGCAACTATTTTAATTTGTGATCAGAGCAACTGGTATGTTTGTTGGATATGATTTTGTATGTTTATGTAGTTAGTTCAAAAAACGTTTTATCCTTTGTTATGTAATATGTAACATTTTTTATATATATTAGATCTCCGTTCAATTTTTATCATCAAAAGTTAGTTCTACCTTCGCAGGACCTCTGCTCTACATACCTCCTCTCTGGTTAAAGAATGGAATATAAGTCTCATTTATCAAGTTGGTGTAAAAATTTAGCTTGATAAATTAAGAAGTTGTAAACTTTATTATCACAATTACCAAGTTGACCAAATGTTCTTCTGGTTTTAAATGAATTATGTACGAGTCTAGTATCATCTGGGTGTTCAAAGATAGTTTACTGCTTGAAGAACTTATCAATGGACCAACTAATTATAAAACAGTTTTTAATGAAAATAAAAACAAATTATCAAAAGATTTAAATCAGCTATTTGTGTATATTTAAACACTTTATTTTTTGTGAGAAGAGATTATTGATACAAGTACCATAAAATAATTCTACTACCAAAAGCTAGGTTAATTCAAAACCTTTAACTCAATTTTGGTCATGAATTATTTTATTAGAATTGATGAGTTTTTATTTATTAACTACCTAACACCATATTATTAGAACTTTATTTTGTAATGTAATGATTTTATCAGCGTTCCAAAATAATTTTCTAAATCAAGAACTTCTATATTAAAAAAAGTACTCATTTAACAACTAATCGCCCCTTATAACGACGTTTTTCATAATTTTGCGAAAAATGTGGTTTGCTTTCACAATTCGATTAAGGCTGTTTTAGTTAACCTTAAATAATTAAGTAAGGTTTTTTTGTTTTCATTATCGTCAAACAATAAGTGTATTTGATAATAACTATTAGGAATATATTTTTCTAATTTTTTTTTGATAAAAAGTAACATCAAATTACAAAAATTTAGCCAAATTCAATATATGTCATATTTATTCTAAACTAAAAGAAGTTTTTCTACTAATGCATTAAATGTCATAAGGTAAAACATTTTATTGATGTCTTAAATGTTTTTACAAAACAAAATTACCTCTTATATTTCAAAAGTTATAAAAGTTTTAGTAACACCCCTTTAGTCAATATTTTCAAAAATTAACAAGAAGCCGTTAAGCTCGGTTTGAAACAGCCGTGAATACTATATTAAATTATTAATATTGTTTACATTAAAACATAACTATTTTTTAAAATGTTAAGAATAAATCTTATTTTATTTTCAAATTAATTGTAACTATATTGAATTCTTAATTGTACCTGTCATTCTTGCAAATTCTTGAATGACAAAAACATCAAATTTGAAAAAATAAGTTCTAATTTAAATTGAATTTTCTTTTTATTAAAAAAAATTGTAAAAGATTTTTGTCCTCAAAACTAAATCAAATATTTCATTATCCACCACTTTGCTCCATTAAATGTTGTCAACACATTGTCACTAAGTTATTGAGCTTCTAACTTAGCTCCTATGTTTTGCTTACCACTCCAATTTAGGTAAATTTTTAAATTTACAAATGTGGTAGTGATATAACATTTGCTTTATAAATGAAAGGTTCAAAACCGACCACACCCCAGGAAGTACAGCATTAAACATGTATTCCTCTACACAGACTTTAATATCAAAATTAGAAGAACTTTCAGGTTATGATAATGCATTGATTGGCATTATCATTTGATGATAATTATCATTTCATGATAATGCCAATGAATATTGATGACCAAAAAAGTCAAATAATATTTTTTTAATGGTTTGGATTTCAAGTTTAAATATATTTGAATCAATGAAAAAAGTTGCAACAGCTCTGTTAACTCTATTCAGTTCAACTGTGAGCAATTATACTCAGTGATGAATTTCATTAGCCATATGAAATAAATAGGCTTGTAAACAGCGTATCCACTGCTTGTACATTATTATAAATAACAAATTATGAACCTTGAATGATAGTGATTTGGTATTGAAGTAACAACATTTTTACATACAACAAACAAAAATAAAACTATACTTTTTCATTAAGTATTTTCCGTTTAATTCTTTAGTTGATTAAAAAGAAATCAATAAAACTTTTTTACAAACTTTAGATAAAAATATGACATACTATAACACAAGATTTACCATCCTTGATTGAGATTTTAAAATTTTTGAGAAAAAAAAAAAAATGTAATAAAAATGCTACAAAATTGAAAATTAAAATATACTAGTTGTTTTTTTTAAAAAAAAAAAAAAAGTTCTTATATGGGTAAAAGACTACTTCAGACTCCTTTGTTTTATACAGGTTTTTAAAACTCACTTTTCTAAACATACAAGACTATTTGTTTCTATTATGTTTAAAAAATTTTTGTTTGAGGTCCACAACTTAGCTGTCTAATTGATCCACAGTGAAAAAAGAGCAGTGCAAAATGCTATGAACTTAAATGCAATCATTGTACATTAATCAGTTGCATTATGTGTTCCCAAATGTTAAAAATTGAAAATAATAAAAAAAGTTCAGAGTCTACTCTAAATGAAATATAAATCAAAACTTTAATATAATTTAAAACGTAGCAAAAAACCAACAGAGTGAACAACAAAAAGAAACAAAAAAAAACAAATAAAACACCAAAAGCGGAACAAAAAAAAAAGAATAGAATTATATGAGTTCTTTATAGAATTTATTTAGAAAAAATTTAATAATGTTAAAAAATGTTATAAAGTATTATATTGATAGCAAATTATTATTGTTGCAAATATCTTTTTTGCATCATTATTAGTATATCTCAAAAATATCTACTTTATTTTAATAATTTAATTTCATAATGGAGAGGACTTTAAAATTAAAATTTATTTCAAATTTTGGGTATTTTTAAATGGTATTAGGAAACACTAAAGAAAAAATTATATAAAAGCTCTTACTTTTCCAGTCACCATTTCAATGACAACACAACCAACACTCCAAATGTCAGCCGCTCGGCCATAACCACACCCTTTATCAAGGGTAATTACTTCAGGAGCCATAAATGCTGGTAACAAAAAGTAAATTATATAAAAATTTTGAAATCAGCTTAACCATAAAACACACATAATTTGCATATTTCATAGATCATGCAAAATTTATGATTTGAGTACAAGTTTTAACTTTTACAAAAATTGGTTTCATTCTATTTGGTAAGTTTGAAATTTTATATATATATAAAATTTATAAAATATATATTATTAGACCTTGTTAAAAAGCATTACACCGTGTGAATTTTATGTACGAAATGGCCATTTCAATTATTTGTTAAGCCATTTACATTACGCCAAAACTTTTTTCATTATTTAAACAATCTTTTAAAATAGTTTATGCAGAAAACATGAAGCAGTAATTATTTGTTGTAAAAAACATTTTCATCACAATTATTTACATTTTTTTGTGTGGATAAAAAAACTTTTTTCAAAAAATTAATTAATTATACATAAAAAAATAAAATAAAAATAAAAAAATATTATTTAAACTTATTTAATTACATTTAAACTAAATTTATTGTAAAATATTGATAAATTTAAATTTATTCTATTAAATTAAAAAAAAAAAATTCAAATTTTTTAAAAAATTTCAAAAAGAAAAAGTATAAAAGCATGTTTAGACAACATGTCTGATATCATACCGAAATAGTCTGTTGCCAGGGGCTTCAGTACATATGTCGACTATCTTATAGCCTGCTGCCACAAAGAAGTGCTGCTAAATCGATTGAGGGTTTGGGGTAGGAAAACAATGTTTTCTTTTGATGGGGACAACTGAATAAGCAAGAATTTCGCTTATTTAAAAAAAGAAAGTGCGAGCTGGCATAAGTGCAAATTTGCATAAGTACAACTGTAATAAGTGCAAATCAGTTGCAAAAACTGACATAAGTGTGAATCAGAATAAGTGGGCTGAAAGAATTTGCAAACATTTGCATAAGTGCAAACTAGCACAATTGTGAATCAGTTGCAAAAATGGCATAAGTGTGAATCAGCATAAATGTGAACTGGCATAAATATGCTAAAGGAATTTGCAAATAATGGCATAAGTGCAGATTGGCATAAGTGCAATTTTATTTGGCGCATGTTTGAAGATGATAACTGTTCATGATATTATAATATTTAGTGCATCAAGTCAGGAGGCTGAATAAGTACAAAAAAAGCGCACTAATGCTAATTTGCAATTAGGCCAGTTTATGTAACTGCTTTGCTTTTATGCCAGTTTGCATTTATGCCGATGTTTGAAAATTCTTTTGGTGCACTTATGCCAGTTCGCACATATGCTAGTTTGAACTTATGGATTTTTTTGCAATGCTCCACAATTATGCCATTCGCACTTATGAAACATCACAATATCACAGTTATCTTCAGTTATCATTTTTAAACATGCAGCAATCATTCATTCAGGCTTGTCGCTTTCCATTAAAAGTTGTATATTTAGCAAGTGATGTTGTAGATAATGATTGAAACACACCTAACTTTAATGTATATACCGCATGTAAGATATTTTCCTATTAGGATTTGCATGTAATAATCTATAATAATTATGAATGGTCAGATCTCTCTGACCATAATTGTCTGTGTATTGACTGACAATTAGGTAGAACATGCAAGGAGTGCTGCTACATTGACAGACATATTGGTAGAACATGTGAGGAGTGCTGCTAGATTACCTGATAAATAGACAGAACTTGCAAGGAGAGCTGCTACAAATAGGTAGAATGCGAGGAGTGCTGCTATATTGACTGATAAATAGGGAGAAAGTGTGAGGAGTGCTGCTACATTGACAAAAATTTTGGCTGGGGCAAGCAATCTTTTTATTTAAGAAATAATTACTCCTGGTGTTGCTAACCTTTTTTAAGTGAATAAAATATGGTAAAACTTTTGTCTAACTTTTACAGGCTATATATAGTAGCCAGAAACACTGTGAGCAATGTTTTAAAAAAGTGGAAGGAGACTGGTGACAAACAACAACAAAGATATGAGAGGGCTATGGTGAGAAAATCACTTGGCAACAAAAGAGAAACTTCTTAACTTGCACAGCTAGCATGTGACAATTTTGCATGTGCAGAAAAGTACAACACATCTGGTAAAAACATGGACTTAGAGGATGTATTACTGCTAAAAAACCACTTTTATCATCTAAAAGTTGTCAGGCTAGATTTGCATAGGCTAAGTGTTTTAGAAAGTGGTCACCTGATAGATAGCATTCTGTATTATTTAGTGATGAGAGTTCTTTTGAGCTTTTCTCCTGGAAGTATCTCATTAATATTTACAGAAGAGTTGGTGAAAAATATTTAAATTTGTGCTTACAGCCTACTGTAAAGATTGGTAGAGGTTCTATTATCGTTTGGGGATGCATTTCTTGACTTAATCAGTATATTGGACATATTGAAGCAACAGACTATCTCTCTATATTAAAAACAACAACAATTGATTCTTTCAAATCTATCCCTTTTCCAAAAAATAAATTTCAAAATAACAATACACTAGTCCATACAGCTCAAAATGTAAAAACATGGCTTAGCAAAATTTCCCAATCCTACCTTGGCCTGTATAATCTCCTGATATGTCACCCAATGAGACATATCAGGAGATTGTACAGTTGGAATGACATCAAGAAAAAGTTGAGAAATGCAAGACAATCTAGCAAGACTGCTCTTCTTAAAACTGTGCAGAAAACCAGGAAAGGAATGGGAAATGACTATTTGAGGAAACTTAATAACACTAAACCACAACAAGTAAATGATCTATATAAAGCTAGTGGCGGATATAAAGAAATGGTAGAATATAGTGTGTTATTATATTTTTACTTTAAATACAAATTTATACATTGAATATATTGACTTTTTAACTCAATTTTCTTTATTTTTTCAATTTTGGCTGCTGCTCATTTAAATTTGGCCAGCACTGTGTGTATATCAGGACTGTGGAGTCGGAGTCGCGACATTTTTAGCAGAGTCAGAGTCGCTTAACAAAATCGCGAATCCGACTCCAATACACGTGCATGTACAAAACATTTAATTAACCTTATGTTCATACTAAACCTCAAAAAACGTTTCATAAAATTGTCAAAAAAGAAATTATTAACTTATCGCGCAATATTTTTGAATGAATTCAAAGAATTTTTCAAAAATTTTGCTTTGGAGTTGAAGTCGGAGTTGTACTTTTTTTTTACGAGTCCAGTTGTAGAAATTTTTATTAAATTTGCCGTAAAAAAGTCGTTACTTTTTTTGTTGTTGTATATTATTTTAATAAAACACTACATAAAACGATATATATACATATATATATATATATATATATATATATATATATATATATATATATATATATATATATATACATATATATATGCATATATATATATATGTATGCATATATATATATATATATATATATATATATATATAGATATATACACATACTGTAGGTCAGGCTATTTTCAGTCGATGTATGTACTGAAGCCCCTGACAACAGACTATTTTAGTATGGCGCCACCCTGCTCACCTAAACCAGCAGTATAAGATTCTTTACAATTTGATTAGCTAAGCTTAATTTCAAACAACAACGCAACAAAAATTCTGAAGGTAAGACACACGATATTCTGCTATAATGCAGATGTAAAGACTATGAAGTCAATCCTAATCAAGTCATTGGATGAGCATTTTAAAGGCATTGAGGAGAAACCTTTTTATATAATGGTGACACTGGTTGATCCATAACTTCAAACTAAACTCTTCTCATTACAAGCAACACTGACAGGTGAAAAAGCAAGATTGAAGTCAATCTGATCATGCTGAGCAGCAGATTGACCAAACTAAAGAAAATCCAGCAAAACAAGCCCGGCTGGATAATTTTTTTACATTATCATCATTACAATGGCAATATATATAGATGAAATTATTCAGTCTATGCCCGCTTGTGGCACAGCACATAAACAACAATTACCAATAGGCATTGATACTCAGCTAATCCAATATCTGGAAGAATCAGAAATATATAGATACTCTGATTCACTACAGTGACGGAGTGACAACATCCTGGAAAAAAAAGTTCTATAGAATTTCTCTAAATTTTTGAAACATATGGCCTATAAAAACTCTATAGAATTTATATAAAATGTCTAATAATTTCTATAAAAATTGCTTTAAAACTTTTAAACAACAAAAATGAAGTTTAACAGAAACAACTTGTTGATTTGTTAGTTAAAATCCGGCAAATCTGGCTCCAGCCGGATTTGGAAAAATTATATCTGGTACAGCCCTAATATATATATATATATATATATATATATATATATATATATATATATATATATATATATATATATATATATATATATATATATATATATATATATATATATATATATATATATATATATATATATATATATATAGGCTTGGACAGGAATGGCGTGCGATGGAGCGCTATTGCTGACCACGCAAATGATTTTATTTTTTGACAACTTGACCACGATTGTTTAATAAACAATGTTTATATGTTTTGATGAGTTAAAAATTTCAGAAATGTTCTGAATGTAGAAACGCTAAGCTAAACTTAAACTAGGAAAAAAATTAAAAAAAAAAACTAACAAAAAAACAAAAAACTAACGAAAAAAGTTTCTAACAAAAAAAGAAACGGAAAACAAATTCATAACGAAAAAGATATAATATAAGCTCTAAAATGAAAATAAAAACTTAAAATCGAAGTGAAACTTTTAGTTACGTTATTAATTACGTATGAAATAAACATTATTAAAACTTATCTTTATAAGTGTTATTAAAGTAACGCAAAACGTTTTTAAATTAAGTAACAAATTACTACTAATGATTGGTTTAATAAAAGAACAAATTTTATCAAATTTATTAAAAAGTGTTTTATATAATATTTTTAAATTGAACAAAAATTTATTTTGTCAAAAGGTTGCAAGAAAAATAATTGTTTAAAAAAATAACATAGTCTTTTTAAAATAGTAATTTTTACTAATTTCATGCTCTAATTAGTGAGTCTAATT